CAGTTTCCACTTGTAATCCTATTTGTTTGTTTGTTTGTGTGTGTGTGTTTGTGTGTGCGTGTGAGAGAGAGAGAGAGAGAGAGAGAGAGAGAGAGAGAGAGAGAGCGAGAGAGTGTGTGAGAGAGAGAGAGGTTTCTTTCATTTACCTTTCGTTTCTTTACGTGGACTCATATCCCGAGTCTGCCATGTTGGTTGTCGGCATTTCAAGAGACATACGTGTTTATGGCCTAACTTATCTCTCAGTGAGTACAACAGCCTGCAACATTCCATAGATACAGATCTATCAGAATGATAACAAATATATCTAATATATCTATCAAAATATTTAATAATAATAGTAATGAAGTCGAATGAATTATGCTTTGGACAATAAGGGCAGTTTCAGAAGAAAAAAATAAGTCTCTCATTAATTTAAGTATGCAATTTTTTTACGTTATTTATATCTGTATTTTCCTCATTATTATTGTTATGACAAATTTTTGGCCATTGCACACTTCGTCCCAATACATACGTTTGCAGATCAGGGTAATATTCAGGGATTTTGAACTGAACCCTTTATTTAATCTACGGGGATCAATTGTTCTCGTTTCACTCCGCACATTTAGCGACACTTTGACTTCTTTCTTATTGCTAACTTAATACTTACCCTGTTTCCATTGTACTACACGGACCTGAGTTTGAACTCACAATTACTATATCACCGAATTCATGAACTAACCCTTAAATCTACTAGACTATTGCCTCTGGACTGGTGCTGTTTACACTTAGACACAAGGGAAACAGGACAAGCAATAACAGAGAAGTACTAAATAAAACGCAGACGAGATACCACTAGAGAGGAAGAGCGGGTCGAGGACTTTCTTTCTCTAAATAAAACCAGCAGTGCATTTGATATATCTTTGGCTTCCGTTTTTCCTAGCAATCAAAAGTTAATGGTCCATTATTTATCCGAGGTAATGTTTTGGCGTGATTGTAATGTTAATATTAGCTGTTTCCTAAGAATGACACATTTGGAATTTATTGACCGTGTCGCCAGTTCTACACCCAAAGGAATGTGAAAAGCAACTTCCTACTACTACAACATCAACTACTTCTACTATTGCGAAGAAGAAAACTACTACTATTAATGCTACTACTAAGAAGACAAAGAAGCACTACTACTATTAAGAAGACGAAGAACTACTACTACTAAGAAGACAAAGATGAAGAACTACTATTACTAAGATGAAGACAGAGAAGAACTGCTACTACTGATTCTACTAAGAAGACGAAAAAGAACTACTACTATTAGTAAAAAGACGAAGAAGAATATCTATTACTAGTACTGGTAAGGCAAATCAGAGAAATGTGCCAAGCAGAAGATCAACTTTCCCCTTGTGTCGTTGGCACACTCGTGACTATTTCCAGGAATCATTCCGACTCCCGAGACGCCTTGATGTTACCTGGCATCATTGGGATTGCGAAGCTTAGAACAGATCCTCTACTAAGGAAAGAGTTTTGTATCTAATCTGTTGGTAAGAGCTGAAGTCAGCTTACAACCTACGCTTATGGTAGAAAATAAGACTGCAACATGACTCATTCTCACATATAAGGCAGAGGAGTGATTTTTCTCGTATTTTGGAACAAAAACTCAGTTATAAAAATAATAAGAATGTTATATTACAACTGTTTTAATTAATTTGAAGTGTAGATTAACTAAACATATTGACATGTTTTAAATCTTTGTACTAAACTGGTTATATGAATATATGCATCATATGCACCGATATTCAATGTGCTGAAATGACGTGCAAGTAAAAAGGAGATAATTATAATAGGATTTTAACAAATGAGCGAAGCAAAGCGAGACAATAAGAATAGAATTCAAATAGGTTTTTTGAATTAATCGCGGCATGCAACGTCTTAGTAATGTAGCTGAAAACCGTAACACAGGTTGACCCAAGACATGTCAGTTAAACTTTGTAGATCAGTAGTCCTTAATAAGGGGTGCTAGTAAACCCTAGAGGTTCCTAACGGGTGTGAGAATACATAATTATTGGGATTGGTTTATTAATGAAAACTCTAGTGTAGTGTTGATGATGACAGCGAGATCAAAGAAGATCTCTTCGATCTGATAAACAATCGTTGAATCCAAATAGAGTTCACCGATGGTCGCCTTGAGCAATTATGGGTTTTTCACCTGGAAACGTATCCTTTGCTGGCATAAAACATCTCGCTGTGCCGGTACCCTTCGCGACTACATACTTGGGCGAAACTGATTGTTCCTGTCAGCATCACATGTTCAACGAAGAGAAGAAATGGACTGGATCCTCAAAACGACATGCGAGTAGCACTCAGCACAAAGACATAAAGAAAACTGTTGAGGGGTTTTCCCCCTTTTACACAAATGGACTCACCCAGTATATACATATACTACGGCTACGTGAAGACCCGAGGGAGCAAGACCGAAGAGTCGAGTCGAGTCGAGTCGAGTCGAGTCCGTAGTGACAGAGTAAAGGTTGTAGGTAACCGGAAGAGTGAGGGTGAGGTAACAGCGTTTTAGGAGTCACAGTGAGCGAGCACGTAGATTCAGTAAGAAGTCATACAGCGATACTTCAATACCAAAGACGGTATATATATTTTGCTACTAACCTGTATTCCTGGAACTACTAACCTGCTTTACCAGTTTTTATTATTACGTTAATACATTATTTTGATATATTCATTCCTGGCGTTTGTTATTTATTGGTACCGGATTTCAACCCGGAATCCACAACAAAACAATAGTAAGAATGGCATTGAGTTTGTTGTTCAACCATAATCATTCAGAACACACCATACATTGTACAAACACATGTTACTGTGAATTTACTTTTTTGCTAATATGAAAGTAATTTGGGTTTTTGTAATGCATTATCTTATTGTCGGGCATAGGAATAATAATTAAATTAACACAATGGTTTTGTTGTTTATCCATGAGTTTAATATTGTTTTTCACCAATTCTGAAAGGAGGTTTGAGAACCGGTTGGTGGTCTGAAAAGAGTCAAAGAACTGGTTCGTAGTCTGAAAGGTGAGCAAACAAGGAAAAGAGTTACGAATCACTGGTATAGACAAACTTTTAGGATACTATCAACTGTTTCTAATCAAATGAGTAGTTAGCCTATTCAACGTTCGTGGGCAATCTGTAGAGGAGAAAGGTAGTCAAGCGTCGACCGGGAGACTTTTACAGATGTCATACAAAATGATTTGTACTCCTAGATAGTCGACATCTCTATCAAAGTGATTACTATCTCCTCAAACGATATTATGATATTTTTTTATATTATGCACAGTTTTCTATTTCAATCGGAACTACCATTATGGATGCTTTGCATCAAGAACAATCGCAGACGGAGAGCAACTTTCGCGGATTATTTGCACTGTCAAGCAAAGCAAACTTTTGAAACTATGGGATACCAGACTTTAATACGATTTTATCCTTGAAAGACTTATATTCGTAGTATTCGTAGTGATAGCTGACATAATAGTAGCCAGAACGCCCGATTGATAGCTAACGAAATAGTAGCCAGAACGCCCGACTGATAGCTGACATAATAGTAGCCAGAACGCCCCAGTGATAGCTGACGTAATAGTAGGCAGAACGCGCCAGTGATAGCTGACGTAATAGTAGCCAGAATGCCCCAGTGATAGCTGAAATAATAGTAGCCAGAACGTCCGATTGATAGCTGACGTAATAGTAGCCAGAACGCCCCAGTGATAGATGACGTAATAGTAGCCAGAACGCCCCAGTGATAGCTGACGTAATAGTAGCCAGAACGCCCCAGTGATTGCTGACGTAATAGTAGCCAGAACGCGCCAATGATAGCTGACGCAATAGTAGCCAGAACGCGCCAGTGATAGCTGACGTGATAGTAGCCAGAATACCCGAATGATAACTGACATAATAGTAGCCAGAACGCCCCAGTGATAGCTGACGTAGTAATAGCCAGGCCGCCCCACATATAGCTGACATAATATTACTCAGAACGCTCCAGTGATAGCTGATGTAATAGTAGCCAGAACGTCCCATGTTTTTGCAACATCAGTCGGGAGATCACTTCATTTCAGAAGCATGTCAATTTCCTTGGCCTTCATATCGTGCTCACCAGGAATGACAACGTCAATGAAGTATTTTCTTGTTTATGTTTTGTTTTTTGATCCATGGCGTTGATGTTGTACGTGTTGTCTTCAAGGAGACGATCTATTTCGTTTCTGAAATTCGACATGGTCTTGGTCGTTTCGCTAACATACATTCTACATAGTCTCTAATATAGCCAAGAGATGAAACTTATCATGCTGAAGCTCATATTGTTATTATTATTTGCTCAAGCCTTGTTTAGCAGTCTTTCTAGAGATGGTGTCTCGAAATAAAATAAACCCCATACTGCAGTAGACTAGTGTGTCAGCCTCAAAACTGAGCAGTGACTGTTTTTATTTTTAACAAAAAGGAATGAATCTAGTCACTTGAACTCACAATTTGCGTCAGCCAGAAATATTCCGGCATTTAATTACTACAGCACAAGACGGCAAATATTCTGTATCTCGTGAAATTGGAACACGCTGTCGCAGTAATGATCATGAAAGATAGTATTTTAGTAACTACGCAAAGGCGAGGCGATTTTAAAATCGAAGTACAGTTCAGGAATACAACTGTGCTGTATCATCGAACGCCAGGTTTTGATTACTCAGGTCGGCGATTTGCAAGTTTGATGTTCACATTTGTTCTTGCTACTGATCTGCTGGGCAGTATAGCACATTAGAAATATAGAAAAGTTTTAAATTATCATTTCTCTATACGAAAACACCCAGTAAATACAATTAAAATGTGTAAGTTTAATAAATAAAACTAGTGTTTTATCGTATTCTTTTTCTATGTGCCGCGTCACTTCAGAACTTGGGCAACCATGGCTCTCCACAATTTCCGGTACTTTGTAGCCTTTAGTAAATGTTGTCTCTTTGTTATATTTCTTAATCTTAAACTTACGGCCACGTCACATTGAAACATCGGTTCTCGTACGATCGCCAATGTTAAGCAACGTCGAGCCTGGGTAATACCTAGATGGGTGAAAACCTGGGAAGTCCAGGGGCTGTAAGCTTCGATGTGACGGCGTTGTAACGGATAACGACTCGTAATTGGAATTCGGAGAGCCGAGTTTCAATTCCAATCGGGTTCGTTGTACACACTTACAAGTGTCAAATGTATGGATTCACATTCTTCTCTGTTAGTAAGACTTGTATCACTAAGCCATTATTATCTCTGAAAAACGCTCTTATAATCTAAAGATATTCCTGGTTTTAAATAACCTGCCGTAGATCGATAAACCGTAGAACACGAATAAATAAATAAATCGATCTTAATACCAGTTCTGACAAACATTTGCGCAAGTTAGTTAGGCAGGTTCTACGCTGCGTTTAATCTCAACCATACTGGGTAGGACGATAAACTACATCCGCGTCCTGGGTAAGACGATAAACTACGTCCAACAGCAAGGCCTCTGATCAGGAGGTTTTGATGTTGGAATTTTTGGGTAGTTTTTAATACTAGTGAGCTAGCCAAAATGAGCTGACTCATTTTATAGTTCACCAATAGAAGGGTTAACCAATCAGAAAGCTCAAAATATTCAATGCGACGTGTATAAAGGCAGCCATTTTGTTTTTTCTCCCAAAATATCTTCACTTCCAACCTGATATCGAAGACTTAAATAAGTAACAGCCGCTATTTTCTCCGAATCTACACTGCCAACCTCTGATATTGAAGAGATTAAAGACTTGACTGGATTCCATATTCAGAGACTACGGCAAAGAGGGTCAACATTTGAGGAGCGTAGAACCACCTCTTAATTGCTGGTGTTCCCAGATCCCCACTGGCCCGCGGTGGTAGCATCTGTTAGGGTCCCAGCTATGGGAAAATAGTTAAAATCCAAACTTGTTTAAAAATAGGTTTTAATACCAGAAATACTTTCTAATAAAAAAATTATTTTTGAAGGAAAAATTATTATTCGCAATACTTTTTAAAAAAATACCCGCAATGCAAACAGCTATACATTCTTTGGAAAAAATATGACCAGCTATAGATTTCTTCAAGGAAAAATATTCCCAGATTTTGGAAGAAGAACATTACCAGCAATAAAAATTTTGTCGGCATTAAATAACCCATTGAGGTTGATATGCCGTAAAACAAAACAAACAAAACTTTTTGCTTTCAAAATTTCCTGTGAATGTCGTTTACTCCATTTATGAAAAATTAGTAATTATTTTAAAAAGTGTTTGTTTATTTTAAATCAATTTTTGTACATAACCGTATATATTTTGCAAGTGATGTGTTCTGTATGTATATATTTTCTAGGGTAAAAAAAAAAAAAAATCCTGAGGGACTCGCATACATAAATATTTGAAATCTAGGGAAATTTAATGCTTTATATTTCCAGATGTCTTTTTATCTTTCCCTGTTTTAATGGACCGATTGTGATCTTCTCAGACGATAAACATGTCCGATACCGTAGACGTTTCTTAGAGCTTTTAAGCCATGCGTTATATTCAAAGGTATATATATATATATATATATATATATATATATAAAAAAAAAAAAAAAACAAAAACAAAAAAAAATCATCTGCATTAAGCTTGGAACTTACGACCTGGTGGGGAGAAAGTTGTAAGTAAATAAATAAATAAACAGAGAGAAAAAATCTAACAAAAAGAAAAAGAAAATAACGATGTAGAGAAAAATTTTTTTCCTTTAAAATCTTTCTATTATTTTTCCTTTTTCTCGAATTCTAAGAATGACTTTCATTTCCTTCCCCAAGTCGGTCGGCAGACGGACAGTCAACAAAAGATTACTGAATACAGAAATCAATACACCAAGACTGATAGGAGTCTATTGAGGAGAATGGAAAAAGCCAATATCAAGTTATACTTAGCTACTAATATAGATGACCGGGTTACTTTCTACAGACTCCTGGTTCTATTGTGATTCTCAGAGCTTAAATCTTCTACCCTTTCCTGGGCTTCTTTAGTTCGTCAGCGGGGCCAAATAACAGAGGCATTTGGTAGGCTTCTTAATTGAATCTTTATCGCCATGATATAGCCTCGGTTAATATGTTAAAGTACAACTTTCATAGATTCCTGCATTGTATGACTATAAACAAATATTCGTTCACCAACTCAATTCGCTCGACTTTATAATGATTTTATCAGCAATTTAGGTAAATCTAAAATTCTAAGATTGGCATATCTTTGGACAAATCGATAATATTTATTATTGTATATTGCACTGTTATTTATTGGTTAATTCTTTTACTTTTCGTAAATCCATTGCTTCTATGTGCATCTCTTAATATCGATTTCCTGAACCGTATGATTGATTTTTACACCCAGACTCATAAAATCACTCAATGATCTATCAAGTCTATTAAAACTCTGATTTGTTAACTTATATATCTCAGTAGATATCAATTGGGGTCATCGAATAGAGAAAAGATAGGAAGATTGATTTCGGACGGGGAAATGCTGAAATTGGCATCTGGCTTCTGATAGCGCATATTAAAGAGGTCGATGCATTATTTCCTATCATTCGTAATGATTACTCGTGAAATGTCCTTATCTCAAAATTATATAAGAAAACGTCTACGGTAAATGTCAATAACCACAATCGAACTAAGGAAGAAAATTTTACGTATACGGGGAAGCTGGCCGGTGCACACGTTCGCACACACATAGACAGACACATTAGCACCTTAGTAAATACTTTGATTTTCAGGTACGGCCTTCGATGTATCCCAAGGAGAGATAGGTTTCTTTAAAATGTCAATCTTCATCGCTTCGAAAACTAAACTAGTTAAATTCCATCATTGCATATCGAATCCTAATCTATCACCAATCACAATGAAGGGAAGTTCGGTGGTGGGGGGCGTCCGTTGAGCGGCAATAACAGTAAAGATGCTGGGAGCATGATCGGTTTCTTGTACCTAACCATTAAGTACATGTCTCCACCGGCTATCCTATAACTATATAAGGCTGAAGATGGAGAAATTCTGCCATATATAGGCAGAGGTAGCCTAATTCTCATTTTCCCGTATCGATAAAGTCTAAAGGTTTCTCTGCGCGCTTGTGGGTCACCAATTATTTTACATGCTACAACCCCACTCTAAAAGGCGAAACGTTGCAAGCTCTATCAGTATTACCATAGAAAGTGCTCAGACGAACTACATTGGTTAGTTTCACCAATTTTAACATTCATGGCTAATCCTCGCCATTCTACGTATATTGTAACGAGTTTCCCTCCGTATTTTATTAGTGAGAAGTAAGTAACACTCTATTTCTGACGGCTCGCGGGCCTTGTACATTTGCGAACTTCATTGTACAAAATAAAGGATAACTGACTGCTGCTTGTTTGTGAAAGCATTCCGACCATTAGAGGTCGAAAGGCAACCAGTTTTGACTGAATTTGATTCTAAACTCGGGGGTGGGTGCATGTTCAAACACAGCAGCAAATCGTAATTACTTTATTAACTCTTGAATGCACGATACTAAAATGTGTGTAGATTAAAAAATAACAAAGAAACATTGATGCCAATCGGAATATGGATGTGTGAGTTATGCAAGGTTTATGAGCATTTGATTATGCGTGAGTGTGCGTGTGTGTCGGAGTGTGTGTCGGCGTGTGAGTCTATGCATATTCGTGTCTATCGGCGAGTTTGTCGCCTAAATGAGTCAAACCCTTCATAACACTCACGCAGACCAATGCCCTCATGTTGAGAAAAGGATTTCCATTGAGTACATCAATAATGTGCAAAGTTACGCTATAATTAATACTATATATATATATATAGATAGATATAAAATTTATATATATATATATATAGTACTATATATATGTGTGTGTATATATATATATATATATATATATATATACATAACTAACAGCTATATGTATATATATATATATATATATAAATATATATATATACATAGATATATACATACAATATATATACAATTAGATGTATATATAAATATATTCATATTTATATGTATATATATTTGTGTTTGTGTGAGTATCATCACACACACACACAGTCACACACACACATATACCCACATACGCTTAATCATGGATACATTTTCCTTTCCGGTAATAATAATATGATGTACTGATTAAAATGAAATTAAAAAAATCCTTGGTAGCATTTTTACTTACTCCTTTCATCCCTCAACCTCTCTCCTCTCTCTCTCTCTCTTTCTCTCCTTCTATATCTATCTATCTATCTATCTATCTATCTATCTATCTATCTATCTATCTATCTATGTGTGTGTGCATGTATGTGTGCGTGTGTGTGTGTATTTAAAATATTTTCATTATATATGCGTGTATGTATGTATAAATGTATAATTTGTCTGAAATGTTTGAGCTATGTCCTTGATAAAAAGATTTATTTTTCATCCATTTGTCTGAAAACGGATGTTTGACCAAAGTCATGGTCCGGTTGGGAAACTTTTTTTTTTAAATTGAAATACTAATGGATTCATAAAAAGAAAAAAATTTTTTTTTTTAGATCAATATATGGGAAAGAATCAAAAAATGAATAAATAATAGAGATCTGCAGTTCAACGGATATATATAAATATATATATATATATACCAAATATATTCATGGTGCCGGTTGGGAAACACTTTTTTGTAATTTTAAATTCGAAATACTAATGAGATTTTTTACTAGTTAACTCTGAAAATTTTCAAAAAAATATATTATTTTCATTTCAATCATCTCCCAAACAAACATTTTATGGCCATCAATATAGTCGAAGAATCAAAAATAAAAATAAAAAAAAAAATACTGAATAAATTTTAAGTTTTTATTTCTCGTGATTATTGTTCAAATGCACACACACACACACACACACATATATATATATATATATATATATATATATATAGTTAAACCTAAATATATATATATATATATATATATATATATATATATCTTGATTTATTTAGTTATTTATGCGTATATATAAATCGTTTTTTTTTTCTTTGGGCTTTGGAAAAACTGCTAGACGATTATTTTTGGCTGACGTACATGTTCTTGGTTCTT